GCCGAGCTCCTCTTGTGACCCAGTTCCTCTATCTTATATTTTACCCTCGTTTCAAGTTGCTACAGGTCTGAGATCCATTCTAGATCAGATCCTTCCCCTCAGGATCAGCGATAGTTCTTCTAGTTCTTCTTCATCCGAATTAGGTTTTTCGAGGTCTAAAGCCCCTTTTACCCCATTTTGTGATTTGACTTCAAATCAAGTGCCCTTTGTTGACCTTGACAACAGTTCTGATAGTTTTCTCCCTTCTTCTTGGAGTCCATGTTCGTCATTATCCGACCTTAATGGTCCAAGTTTGGATTTAGTTAATTTTTATACTGACCCTCGTCCTTCGTGTTCCAGATCTGTAGTCATGGAGGAATCTGACGTCCAGAATTGGGTTCTTCTTGAGATTCTCAACATGCAGTCCTCCATGTCACTTGCCGAGGTATCCCAACTTCCCGTTGGAGATCCTTCTGGGGTTGATATTCTCCCAGCAGGTGATAGCCCGTTATGTGCGGGCCCTGATGAGGACGAACCTCATTTTTTCTATTTTTATCGAGACTTGATCACCAAGGTGGGACTTCGGTTCCCCCTTTCCGAGTTCCAAATTGTCGTGATCCATCGGCTTCAGATTGCTCCCATGCAACTTCATCCCAATTCATGGGCCTTCATATGAGGTTTCGAACAAGTGTATGCATATTTCTGCCTTCATTGTTCATTTTGTTTGTTCTTCTTTTATTCGATGTATATACAGCCCGGACTGGGGCCGAGGTTAAGGAAAGGAAGGGTTGGGTTACCCTCCGAGGTGCTCCAAATTGGGGTATTTTTATTCCTTACTCCCAATCCTTCAAAGGTTTTAAGAATGCCTATTTTAAAGTGGCAGCTCGTTCTGATTCTCTCCCATGATTCGCCAAAGAATGGCTGGATAGAGGAGATTTGGCATGTCGGTTTGAGCTTTACTGGACGCAAAACCATTACCAAAGGCGTCCTAGGGATTATGTTACTCCGGAGGTAGCTCTTTCCGATTTGGAAAGATTGATAGCTTTCGTCCTAATTGGTTATGCCAAAGAGTTTGGCATTATCGATTTAAGTCGGATTGTAGATAAATTTGGAGATTATCTCCTTCATGAACTCGGTATATGGTTCTCCTTGCGACGTTCACTTTAATTTATCTCATAATTTTCATTCTAATTTTTGGCTCTTTTTACAGTTACCATGACGAGCTCAGCATACAAGAGTTTCTGCCGAAACCCAAGAAGACTTCTTCGAAGGGAAAGGCCACAGACGATACCGCCTTTGATGTTAAGTGACAAAAAAGACGCGATTTAGCATTGTGATCAGAGGCATCTCATCTATTATAGGCGACACTACGCTCTAATATAAGGTATTTGCTTATCAGTTCACCCCTTCCGTATCTCCACCTCCACCCCCTCCTCGTGTTCCTCAAGGGGATGTTGTAGTTTTGGAGCCCGGTGAGCTGTGGAGGGTAGGGGTTTCAAACCGGCTTAGGGCTGCCTAAGCCTCCTCAACAGTTTATGGGTGGTTCGCCCTTGACTCCCGACATCAGGTCTATGCTGGCTCGGATATAGGAGGAGGCGTTGAAGATGACTTCCTTGACCCAATCTCTCCAAGACCTTCATCAAAGGCTCTATTTGTCAACTGCCTCCAAATCTTCACTCACCATTAAGATGTATGAGATCTTGGGGAAGCAAGATGAGCTTTGCAAATCAAAGTAAGAATTGGAAGTGAAGGTCCAGGATCTTGCCTCCGAGCTGGCTGAGGTGAAGGTAGCACTGGCTTCGGCTAATGTCACGGTGGACAACCTGAGTGTTGAGAAGGAGTCTTTTTCAAAGACTCTGGCTGACAAGGATGCTCAACTTCAAAAGATGCAGGCTGACTTTGAGGAAGCTCAGACTGTCATTGCAACTGCCGCCATCGAGTCCTTTGAGAATGCTATTGCACAAGCTCAGGTTCCGAATCCCGGTCTTATCACTGAAGGGATGGACGTCGCCTATGGAGTGAAAGAAGGCTCTATCATTTCTGGGACTCCGGATCCTGAGACCCTGAAGAGGAAGAGGGCATGGCCGAGGTCGATGGAGTTGTTCTAGGTGCTGATGAAAACTGAAAGGGTCGGTAGTTAGGATATGAAATATATCCATAACATTGATATTTGTGAAAAGGGTGATGGGCATATATATAATTATATATTATATATTCATATTTGTGAATTTCACATACGAGGCCATTGAGTACATTGGTCGTACTAAATGAGTGCATCTGAATTATCAGTGACTCTGGTGGAATATATTGAGTTTTTACTGTGAACGCGTTCGATCTTCGGTTGGTTTCGGATGCTTTGTGCATCAAAGATATTTGATAATAAAATGTGTTTTGATGATTTTGATGGTTGTGATTTTGGCGATTCTAATTCAAGTGAGTTTCCGAATAATTTGATTAGCGTGAATGTCTAATCTTTTTGATTGTTAAAAGTATATGATGTTGTGGATAACCTTGATAGGAGTTTGGAATAATTATTGAATTAATTAATAGAACTCTAAATTATCAGAGAAAGAAAGTAAAAGATTTTGCATGTAAATATGTTTGTGTAAAAAACTTAATTAAATAATTAAAAGACTGTATGGTGTGGTCTATGTTTTGTGTCTACCTGTTCTGCAGGAAGTGAACTCGTGGGTGGAGACAGCTCTATAAACCCCGAGCTTATTGAGATTTGTTCTCACCCCGCGTTATAGGAATATATTTCAGGTACATTAGCCGCTGAAGAAGAATCCTTAGGCAAGGAACCAGTGCGTGGGGAGTCTTGCTTGGAGTAGTAAGCTGATAGATGTTTGTTTTGAGACTATCTATATATATGTATTATTGTAAATATCTTAGAGAGACTTATGTATATATTATACGGTAGAAGTCGAGATGTATTTTATCTACAAATTAAGATGTATTGATTTGTTGTGTATCAAGTGTAAAAAAATCATAAGAAGATAATCTCTAGAAATGTTCAGTTTACCGTCGTTATGTCACTTATATCATTAAAAGACTAAATTAGTGTATCGGAAATGGATGGCATTTAATTATAATTAAAAGACTAAATTAGTGTATCGGAAAATGAAAAATCAATGTGATGTCACTTATATCATTGTATGGCATTTAATCAATCACAAATTCACAATTTGTTATGCCTATGGAAACTTTTTACTCTGCATGATTTCTCCACTCTGTGATGTGAATGGGCTAAGATAAGGGCACTCAATTCTTTGTCGCCCCAATTATTTTGATATTCTTCTGATAAATATAATGAAATTTCTTAATGTACGCTAAAAATTAGAGTAAAATGTTTGCTTTATGTTAAGGTACTATGAACCACTTATTAACAAAAGGAAGAAAAACAAACTTAAACTTAGAAAGGCACCATTAATTCATATACCTAACTTTCAGCTATGAATTGGATCCTTGTGAATGTCCCTTCTATCTATCTACTTGCATTTGTCAAAGAAATGCTTAGGCAGCATTATATGAATGACCTTATGTGGTTAAATGGAAGTACATCTTGTTCTCATTTTCAATATAAGCACAGCGTGTTCGTCTTTTAAAGTACCAAGTTTCCACAAGCGCAAAGTAGCCCAACCATGCTATCTGAGGGCCGATGGCATGTGCTGAGCCGAACCTCATTAATATTGACCCAATATAATTATTGAGGCCATTCTAGAAGTGTTTAAACCTGGATTAACTACAAAAAAAAATTATGTACAAGTATATGGGATTAAGGAATTAAATAAAGGGGTTTGCATTTGTCATTTAACATGACACAACAAACTTTCCTATACACACAACATTTTGTGAGGTCCACACTTTTTGAAGAAAAAAAAAAAAAACTACGGCACGCAAAACGAATCTCTATAACATTACACAATCACTTTTCCTACAACATAACTCTTATAAAATCCTTAAATTAATGTCAACCTTATATTTCATAATGGATAGACTAAATTAATGATAAATTTTTTGAAGGACCAAAATAATGTTACATGTATCGTTCAAGACTAAAATGAATATTTACTTATATAAGGTAGACAAAATAATCTCTCTCTCTATAGAAGATGTCTTGAACAAAAAATAAAAAACTTTCTCCACATTTCACATTTCAACCTGTAAAGTTTTAGAAGTATTAATCTGAAAAGAAAATTCTCTATTTTGAGTTCCCTTTCAAAATGGATGTATAAGTGTAAACTTTTTTTTTATAAATCACACATATCTAACATGGACGCAATTCTATTTGGAATGGGTCTAAAATGAAGTCTTAAAATCCTTCCAAAAAATGATACTAGAAAAGATCGAATACATACTTTTATCTTTAGCTGCTAAACTCTCATACACTAATTGAACTATCATGGTTTGGTAGTTTAAACTAAGGGTTTAATTTTTCTCATGTTGCATGATACAAATTGTCTCATGCAACACACAAAAAAGTGGGTGGAACCCGCTACAAAAAGAGAGAGAAAATAAAAAAGTGAGTACTCATTTTTTTGTGTGTTGCATGAAACAAATAAAACCCTTAAACTAAATGGTTATGTTTATCTCATTTTACCTGAGATAAACAACTCTTCTACACACACAAAAAAAGGGTTGGGTCCCACCACTCTTCTTTCTATCTCTTCTGACCTGTGAGTCCTACTTATATTTTTATTTATATAACGTGAGGTAATTTTTTTTCTAAGTATATCCCTAAACTAAAACCCATATACTACACGTCATTTGCAGGCCAATGACACATGTCACGTGCTAATCACGTGAATTAATTGTATTATTATTATTATTATTATTTGGGTGAAGAAAGAAACAACTCCGGGGCCTGTTGCATTCCATGCGATTCGACAGTTCCAAAGTTCCCAACTACTCAGAACTACTTCACATAAAACATAACAACATTGTTTTCATCGACCTAGTTCTAAGGCTTCTTTAGGTGCTCCATTCTCTGCCCCAATCTAACATATATCAAGAAGAAAACCCCATTTTTGCCTTTTGCATTTCTACTTTGAGCTCACTCTTTTTCTCTCTCTCCACATTGATCACTTTTACTGGCAAAAGGTGACACCCCACTTTCTCTGATCATGTTCTTGTTGTTGTTTGTTTGATTTCTAGAATGAAAGTTAGATGTAATTATTTAAATGTATGTTCTATTGGGGAACAGAGTTTTTTAATCAGTGTGCATGAAGAATGTTGCTATGTTTATCTTAATCAAGGAATATGTGTTTGCTTTTAACACTTTTTTATGGACTGGTCATTAGTTTTATGCGATTTGTATTTGGCTTAGTAACGGTTCTGTCATCAGAGACAGTAACTATTGGAAATTTTTAACCTCTTTGTGGCTCAATGGTGGAGATTTTTTGGGATCTAATTATTAGACTGATGTGGTGTTTTTCATATATATATTTTTTATTTGTTTACGGGTTAGTATGAAAAAAAAAAAAAAAGGTTTGTGGAATCTGGGAGCGGCTTTAGTGATTCTTGAAGGGTTATAGATTCAATATAAAAAGCTTGTTGTTTTCTCTCATGGGCTTGGCCACTTTTGGAACCATTTGATTAACTGAGAAGTTATATTTTTTTTAATCATTTGATCATGCTTTGCCATTGTTAGAACCATTGGCTTTCTTGTCATAAATGCTTTTAATTGGTTAGAAGTTTTCGAATTTTTTCTTATAAAAAAGATTCTAACCAATTATATGTATAATTCACCGTAGTAAACATTGACTAATGAATCAATGAAAGCTAGCTGCATTTTATTCCTTTTGAAATCCAGAATTTAAGATTAATCTACTAATATAAGGGAAATTTTCAATTGATGACCATTTGAATTGAGTTAACTTCTGAACTTTTTATCAAGCTGTCCTTATTTGGTATTCAGGGTTTTTCTTTTATCTGAAGTTTGTTATAAGTATAGGGTTTGGACAAATGAGAAAAACACTAATCATTAGTCATGTGTTATTTATTTATTATATATTTGTTTTAATGTTAGTTTTGTGTACAGATCTAGGTGTTCTGCCATCGTATTTACATTCATTCAAGATGGCAACAACAACAGCTTCTAACTTGCCAATTGCAATGTCAAGGCCCAGGATTCCTTCATCACAAAGGTTTGCAAATGTTGGTCCTGCAATTCTTGGAGGCAGGTTTAAGGTTGGATCATGTAATAAACTGGCAAGTGTCTGTCATGTTGCATCAGTGCAACCCTTCCAGCGGGGCTTGACATCATGTGCCATCAAATTTGACAAAATCATAACAAAGGCAATGTCTGAGTCTAGTTCAAACAAACAAGTTTCAGGATTGCCAATTGATTTGAAAGGTTTCACTTCTTTTGACAGAAATCTTTCATATCTATTTTGCTTTTATGTACATATTTGTTGGAAAGATGTCCAAACATCGTATACTCAGTGTGTTTTTATTTAATCTATTCTAAATCTTGAACCTTTTTTTTTAAACTTTTTGATTCGAAAAATATTTTCCCTTATGACCCTTTCCATGATTATCTGAAGTAATGTCAGAAGGAATTGTCATGTTGTGGCTACATATCCACTTTTCCCTATTCAAAAATTTTCTCATTCTAAAATCTACTCTGCTGAAAGTTGGTTTACTAGTCAACATAAAGGATAAGAAAATTTGCTTGTTAGATTGTATCTATAAACTATTGAAAGTAGAAACCCTTTGCATCTGATGCCACTGTATAATATGACAACGCCAAGATAATGCCTTAAAATTTTACTTTATTCCTTATAAGTCTGTTATTACTAAGGGTACCTGCTTTTTGTTTTTTTGTGTTTTATACTGTGCCTTATGTTATCTTTGATTTGTTGTGACACAAGTTTAATGATATCCCACGTTTTTAGTAATCTTAATAAAGAACAGGTAGCACTTCATTGAAAGTAATGTGATGTGCAGGTAAAAGGGCTTTTATTGCTGGTGTGGCTGATGACAACGGATATGGCTGGGCAATAGCAAAATCTCTGGCAGAAGCAGGAGCTGAAATTCTTGTTGGCACATGGGTACCTGTAAGTAAATAATACAGTTCCCATGTTGTCTGTTTGCACATTGTTTATTTTTATCTTGAATTCAAGTTACCTTTTTCCAATGATGCTAACTTTGAACTTTTTCGTGTAGGCTTTAAATATATTTGAGTCCAGTCTACGACGTGGAAAATTCGATGAGTCACGCATGTAGAACTTTTAAATGCTGCCATTGATTTTATTAGTTAGTATATGTGAATATTATGTACTTTTGCTAACAAGATATTCTTCAATTTTCAGATTACAAAATGGTTCATTGATGGAGATTTCCAAAGTGTATCCCTTGGATGCAGTCTATGACTGTCTTGAAGATGTCCCAGAAGATGTAAGGGAGAAGTGCATAATTGTTATTGAAAGACAATATATTCGCAAAACATGTCAATTTTATTTTCTGTCAAAATTTTATAGGTCAAATCTAACAAGCGCTATGCTGGAGCCACAAATTGGACTGTCCAGGTATAGATTGATAATTATGTTATCTATTGATGGAACCTATGCTAAATCAGAACTAATTATCTGCACCTGATACGCTACAGAACATAAAAGAACTAGAAATTCAACATATAAACGTGACAATAAGAACGACACTGTATTTGATTGGTAAAATACTCCCAAACAGAGTTGCAATCACAGACTCTAATATGACGGTGACACACTACTAGACTCAAAACACAGACACCATTGCTCTATTACAATATGAAAATATTAACAGTAACAATAAACCAAAGACCTCAACTCACCCTCAAAGCCAACATACCTAGGCTTCAAGAGATCCCTAGAGATCCTTCCCCAAATCCTCACTTCACCACTTACTCAATTCATGCCTCACTACACACACTCACTTTCCTTTTATTACATCTTCTAGTAATATTCTAGAATAATTTCCCTAACTAACTAACTAATTCCCTCATCCCTTCCCTTTCAGCCCATAGGCCAATCATCTATATTTCTCTACACGTACAGTACTCTTTCAATCCCTCCATTGCAAAATGAGTTTCAGTTTTGTCCCAAAAGAGCTTCTAATTTCAATTTATTTCAAACTTTAATTATATCATCTTGTCTGCTTTTTGTGTCATAATCATAAATGATAAAATTAAATTTTTATATGTTAAGAAGCGTTTAGGAGATCAGCTCACTGGATATCAGCTTCTTTTCTCATATTTCCTTTGAGCTCATGATCATTAGCTAAGTAAGCTATTGAGCTAAGTTGATCAAATTTATTCCATATTTAAACATTAGTCTTATATATTTCCTTAGATGGTGTAACATACAGGAATGATTTAATCATTAGTCTTATAAATTCCTTAGATGATGTAATGCCCTACAAGCCTGAGGGTTTTCCATTTTCTACTTTTGTCTGACCAACCCTGAAGCTGAAAGTTTCATTTTTGTTTGATTATGTAACAAACTAAACAACAATTTCCAGAATCAATCTAAAACAGAGACACTTTGTATATTAATATTTCCCAATCACCAGCATCAATTACAATTACGCAACAACTTCAACAGTAATAACTATGATCCTTCCTAATTACAGACCATCAAGCAAAGTTACAATGGAATTAAAGAAAGTAAGATAGACTCAGAGGAGTTGGAGAGCCCCTGATCTCTCCCAAAGGTCCAAGTTCCAATTGCCCAAAAAGATATTCCTTCAGCTCCTTCATTCTCTTTTTATGCACATGTTTGCTCTAACCGTTTGCTGAGTCAACATTCCCTGATAAGTTTGTTACACTAGTATCAGGTGGTGCATCCCTTGCAAGACTGATAGGGTGTGATTCCCTGCGACGTTGTCTATGATAAGTCTTGAATTTAGGAGGGGTTGTATCAATACTCGCCCCCAAAATACTAACCTTGTCCCCAAGGTTAAACCAAGGGAACTGGTTGTGCAGCATGTAAGAGTCCTCCCAAGAATCTTCAAAAAAGGGAAGGTCTTTCCAATGAATCAGGACTTCAACAGCACCACCTGCTATCCTTCGCCACTGTACTACCTCTACTGGTTCGACTAGTAGCTCAAATTCCTCATTCAGAGCATGAGGAAGAGGTTGAATTTGAGCCAGCTCCACAATGGACAGGGCTTTTTTCAGCAAAAACACATGGAAAATCGGATGTATAAGGCAAGTAGGAGGTAATTCAAGTTTATAAGCTGATGTCCCTATTTTGGCAAGTACCCTGTAAGGGCCGTAAAAACGGGGGCTGAGTTTTTCATTAACACGCCGAGCCAATGATTTAAGCCGATATGATTGGAGCTTGAGATAAACCATATCATTGACGTCCAATTGGACATCCCTCTGATGCTTATCCGCTTGGACTTTCATACGATTTTGAGCCTTTGTCAACTGTTGTTGTAATTCCTCCAGAATGACATCTCTTTCATGTAACATTCGGTCCACTTCAGCAACATGGGCAGAATGTCCTATTCGGAATAGGGAAGGGGGGTCAGATCCGTACAGTGCCTTAAAAGGAGAAACACCTGTGGAGGACTTGTATGTGGTATTATACCAATATTCAGCCCAATGAACCCACTTAGGCCACTGCCTAGGCCGTGGGCTGCAAAAACACCTGAGGTAGGTTTCTAAGCACTTGTTAACAATTTCTGTTTGGCCATTTGATTGGGGGTGGTAAGCCGTGCTATATTTCAAAAAGGTACCATCCTGTTTAAACATTTCGGACCAGAAATTGCTAAGGAAGACACGATCTCTGTCCGATACTATAGTTAAAGGGAAGCCATGTAGTTTGACTATATTCTGGATAAAAGTAATAGCCATATCCTGAGCACTATAAGGGTGACTAAGTGGGATGAAATGGGCATATTTAGTCAGCCGGTCAACAACCACCAAAACAGTATCCACCCCAAAAGCCTTAGGCAATCCACCCACAAAATCAAGGGAGATATCGGACCATACTTGAGTTGGAATTGGGAGAGGTTGTAGAAGACTCGCAGGAGTCAAATTAGAGGCTTTACTTTGCTGACAAACTGCACAACCAGCCACATAATGTTGTATATCTCTCTTCATTCCCTCCCAATAAACCAAGTTGGATATACGTTTTAAAGTCCTAAAAAACCCACAATGTCCTCCTGTTAGGGTATCGTGAAATTCCTTAAGTAAAACAGCTATGAATTTGGAGCCCCTTGGGAGGACAAGTCTGCCTTGATAAGTCAACTTCCCATCAGAAATCAGAAATCCTGGGTGCTGAGATGGATCTTCAATTAAATCCAACATGAGTTGCTTCAGTTTTGAATTTGCCCCTTGTTCCTGTTCAAATTGTTCCATTATTGGTAGGTCCACCATTGATAGGGAGTTAAACTGCCCTGTACGCGAAAGGGCGTCGGCTACTACATTTTCCTTCCCCGGATGATATTGGACCTCGAAATCAAAGCCAAGCAGCTTGGAAGTCCATTTCTGTTGGTCCTCTCCCAACACACGCTGATCCATAAGAAACTTAAGTCTTTTCTGATCTGTTTTGATCACAAAATGCCTCCCCAGAAGATAATGGCGCCACTTTTGCACCGCAAAAACCAGAGCCATTAGTTCCTTTCCACAGACTGATTTCCCCTGTGCCATTTTGGAAAATCCCTGACTAATAAACGCTAGAGGTCTCCCTTCTTGCATGAGTGCAGCTACAATTCCCTTGCCTGATGCATCTGTCACTACAGTAAATTGTTTAGTAAAATCAGGTAAGGCCAGAGTAGGTAACTTACATATGATCATTTTCAGTTGGTCAAATGCAACTTGAGCAACTTCACTCCAACAGAAGGCGTCCTTCTTCAGTAGATCTGTCAGTGGCTTTGTCAACATACCATACCCCTTAACCAATTTTCTATAATATTCGGTTAAGCCGAGGAATGCTCTTAACCCCTTAATGTTAGTAGGAGTAGGCCAGTCTTGCATAGCCTTTGTTTTAGCCGGGTCAGTTGCCACCCCATTGGAGCTGATGATGTGACCTAAGTATTCAACTTGTGGCTGCCCAAAGGTACGTTTCTTTCTGTTTGCATACAGCTGTTGCCTGCGCAATTCCTCCAGGATTGTCCTCAGATGCTGGATATGGACCTCCTTTGAACAACTATATATCAGAATGTCATCGAAGAACACCAAGGCAAATTTACGAAGATACGGTTTGAGGACTTCGTTCATCAAGGATTGGAAGGTGGATGGTGCATTAGTTAACCCAAAAGGCATGACAAGATATTCGTAATGACCCTGATGGGTTTTGAAAGCGGTTTTTTCTATATCTTCTTCACGCATCCGAATTTGGTTGAACCTTGACTTCAAGTCCAACTTAGAAAACAAGCAAGCAGCACCAATCTCATCTATTAGTTCATCAATTACCGGCATGGGAAATTTGTCAGGCACCGTCATTTTATTCAGCTTCCTATAATCAACACATACTCTCCAGCTATTGTCTGTTTTTTTCACCAAAATTGCAGGGCTTGAATAGGGACTCACGCTAGGCCTAATCTTACCATTGCTCAACAATTCATCAACATTTTTTTCAATTTCATCTTTTTGATAGAATGGGTACCTGTAAAGGCAAATATTCGGTATCTCCATCCCTGGTTTCAGAATTATAGCATGATCTCTGTTGCATTTAGGAGGAAGACCCGAAGGGACAGTAAAATCGTCTTCATACTCGCTCAACAAGTACTTGAGATCGTCCCACCCACTCTGAGTCTCTGGGACAGAGAAAGACCCCCAACTTGGGTGCACAATAAACCCTTGATCATCATTCTTAATGGCCTTCATCACTGTTTTTAAAGAAGCCTCCACCACAGATAGCTCTGGCTCAGCTCGAACCAGCACCTTTTGTCCGTTTTGCTTGAAGCTGAGAATAAGCTCACGAAGGTTTGCCTTAACCGTCCCTAACTCTTGTAGCCAGTCCATGCCTAACAACACATCAGCTCCTCCTAGTGCAAACAGGAACAAATCTTGAGTCACCTTGATGCCTTGAAACTTTAGCTTCACTCCTTGACACACTCTGCTACAACTCACGTGATCTCCATTTCCGATTTCCACCTTGTACCCTGGTGTGTCCTCAGCTGCCAAACTGAGTTCCCTGGCCGTCTCCTCTTTGATGAAATTGTGTGTAGCCCCACTATCGATCAAAACCATCACCTGGTTACCTTCAATCGTCCCCCAAAGACGCATGGATTTACTCTATGTCAGCCTTAACAAGCTGTGAGATGACAACTGAAGTGTTACCTCCTTCACTTCGCTGCCCTCCATCTCGTCCTCTGTGACTTGAACGCCGTCGTCGTCTTCAACCACCACCAGAAGATTCAGTTGGCGTGACCTGCAACGATGGCTTGGAATCCAACGCTCCGCGCAATGGAAGCACAAGCCTTTACGGGACCGTTCATGTAGCTCTGCTTGTGGCAACCTTCTATTACCGGATCTACTGACGTTGCTGGCTTGACTCTCAGCGTTTCTCTGAGGAAGATTGTTCGTCTGAGAATTTGGGATCTCTGGATTAGGGTTCGCCATGTTCGAGTTGTTTTGGGGTCCAGAACGCGTGTTATAAGTGGAACCCGTATTTTGACCCGTTGACCTGAAATTAAAGTGACCCGTGTTCGAACGGGTTGAGGTTGTATGGCCCATCTTAGAAGGCCCAAACGCACGTCCTGGCCCAATTCCTCCCAAGCCTTCAGCCATCCAAGCCCAGTTCCGTCTCTCAATTCGTTGCGCCTTCTTCATCATCAACGGCAAGCTATCCAAAGGCTCTAATAGAAGTTTTTCCCGTATACAACTTGTCAATCCGTTCAGCCATATCCCACGGAGGACTTCTTCCTCAACTAGATCCAAACACCCGTTGATTTTCTCAAAATCCCGTGTGTACTCATTAACACTCCCAACTTGGCGCAAACTCAGCAGCTCGTGGAGCGGGTTTCCTTCCAAATCCGGTTGGAAACGGCTCAACACCTCCGCCCGGAACAGCCCCCATGATGCGTTGGTTGTATTTCTCTCCCACCACTGGTACCAATGAAGAGCTTCTCCTTCTAGGACGATCATGACCGCTCTCATTTTCTCCCTGTCCGTCAATGGATTAACCTCGAAATACCTATCCACATGCGTTAACTAGTCGTAAGCCCCTCGCCGGAAAATGACGGTAATTCCAGCCTTCTCCTCATGGTTTCACCACCGTTTCCTCTTCCCATTGCTCCATCTGAATGGACATTGGAGTCTCTGCTCCCTCTTCCGTCGCGTCCACGATGTGAACGACTTCTGGATCGTCGATCCTCTCTATCTGCCCTCAACTCTTGCATTCCTCTTAAAACCTCTGCTAAGTTTTCTTCTACTCGTTGTATCCCCTCCTCTGTTCTACCAATTCTCGTCTCCATGGTTTCCATACGGTGATCCATTGTTCTCGTCACAACCATTCAATGCTCCCGGGAAAGAGCTTTGATACCAATTGTAACAAACTAAACAACAATTTCCAGAAGCAATCTAAAACAGAGACAATTTGTATATTAATATTTCCCAATCACCAGCATCAATTACAATTAAGCAACAACTTCAACAGTAATAACTATGATCCTTCCTAATTACAGACCATCAAGCAAAATTGCAATGGAATTAAAGAAAGTAAGATAGACTCGGAGGAGTTGGAGAGCTCTTGATCTCTCCCAAAGGTCCAAGTTCCAATTGCCCAAAAAGATATTCCTTCAGCTCCTTCATTCTCTTTTTATGCACACGTTTGCTCTAACCGTTTGCTGAGTCAGCATTCCCTGATAAGTTTGTTACACTAGTATCAGGTGGTGCATCCTTTGCAAGGCTGATAGGGTGTGATTCCCTGCGACGTTGTCTATGATAAGTCTTGAATTTAGGAGGGGTTGTATCAGATTATTTCATATGATTATTTGGTTTTGTTCCATTTTTTTTGTTTTTATTGAATTTTCATAATTGAGATGAATATTAGACAACGCTTTGTTGAAATATAAGTTACTTCTAGTCTGAGCAGACCAAACCTAAGCACATTTAAACATATTAAATTGAGTAGTATTTACTTTATGATCTGTGTTTCAGCTTGTGTTTAAATAGGACTAGCTTTGCTAAGTCTACTGTGATTTTTTTTTACCTTATAGGAAGTTGCTGAATCTGTTAAGAAGGATTTTGGCACTATTGACATACTTGTGCACTCACTTGCTAATGGACCAGAGGTATAATGATTACCATAATGAAGTTTCTTGTTGCCTTATGTTTTTAGCTTTAACAGGAAGTGAACCATGTTTTAGGTCAGCAAACAATTGTCCGAGACATCTCGGAAAGGATATCTTGCTGCATTGTCTGCATCTAGTTACTCTTATGTTTCTTTACTCAAACACTTTCTTCCAATCATGAACCCAGGCATGTTCATTACCTAAAAGGGCTGGCATTTTATTGCTTCATCCTTCAGTATATTGTTCTCACCATTCTGTTTTGGTTGTAGGTGGATCTTCAATCTCTCTTACATACATTGCATCAGAGAGGATTATTCCTGGGTGCGTTGGATATGCTTTAAGGACTCATACTTTTTTTTCTTTTTGTAACTTTTTTTGATTGACAAAGTTTTGAACTGCCTATTATGCAGATATGGTGGTGGTATGAGTTCTGCAAAAGCTGCTTTGGAAAGTGATACAAGAGTGAGTTTACCCTTTTTCATTTTCAAACTTTCATAGTATGCACATATGCATGTGTGCTTTTGGTACTTTTATTTCATAACTTTCTTCCCCCCTCCCTCCATTTCCCTTTGGATATTTGAAATTATATCTCAAATTTTTTACATTTTCAGGTGCTTGCTTTTGAAGCTGGTAGAAAGAAAAGAGTCAGAGTCAATACTATATCTGCGGGTAAAGATGGCTTCTCATAACTCCACTAGCTAAAGATTTTGTTTGTTTTTTGAGAGGAGGAGCCTGAAATAGTGGTAAAGTTGTTCCTTTGTGACTGAAAGATCACGGGTTCAAATCTTAAAAATAGCCTCTTTGCAATTATGCAAAGGTAAGGCTATGTACAAGGATTGTCCTCACCTCACCTTTGTTAGTCGGGGTTTATGGGGAGTAGTTTTTTTTTTTTTTCCTCTCTTTCTTTTTGAGAGGAACTAGAAATTGTATCATAGTAAAATAGAGATAAACCACAAGTGCAATGGACAAAATAACTGAAAACAAGATAAAACAAGGATGAAATACTACATAACTTTGAGGAATTACAACCTTTTTGCCCAGGGTTTTCGAGAAGCACCTGTTCTCTCCAAACTCCCATTTTTTAACCACTCAAAAGCTACCTAGTGACCACCCTTTCTTCCTATTTGTAACAGATTTTACATGAATATAAGATCAATTACCCATAAATACATAATCAATCACACATAAATCGACCCAATAAATATAGAATCAATCACTTATAATGATTGATGCCCATAATTAATTGGAATGTGATCCCCTACGCCTCTCCCTGCATTAAAGGAGATTGCCCAACACTTTCCTTTTCTTTTTTGACTCTCCTCATCTAGGGGTGTAAATGGGCTGGGCTGGGCCGGGCTTTGACCTTCTTGGCCCAAGCCTACGTAAAAAAAAATTCAGCTTATCTGACCTACTGGTCTATTAAAGGCTTTATTTGTAGGCCAAGTTCGGCCCATTTATAAAAATAAGAAAGCCTAACATGGCCTACAGGCCTTGTAGGCCTTCCACTGTAGATAATAAGCAAAAAAAATAATTGTATAGAGCAAAGAAAGTTCCATTCATGCATGTACTAGTACTTCTCATAAGAAAAAAAATGACAAACAAGAAAGAGTCAACATAATACCCCAGCTCTAGAATGTATATCATAGAGGAATAGAGTCAAAGAAATGGAAAAAATAAGAAAAATACAATTACTCTAGAATGTACTTTGCCATGCCACATAAAATAAATATTATTTTATTTTTAATAAATTAAATAGGCCAGCCTACAAGGCTTTGGGCCGGGCTTGGGAAAATTGGCCTACGGCCTATTTGTTAAAAGAGCTTTCTTATAAGCCTAAGTCTACTCTACTTTTCTAAAAGGCTGGGCCAAGCCAGGCTTAATGTAGGCCGGGCTGGGCCAGCCCAGCCCATTTACACCCCTATCCTCAACCGGTTCATCCCAAGATCATTTTTTCCATTCCCAAGGCTCAAACACGATATCTTTGGTTATGGGACACAAGCTCCTTACCACTTGTGCCAATGGTGTTTGGTAACACTTTCCTTTTCTTTATGTATCGGTATATGCATCCATGGAGTGGAGCATGTAATGCCAATTGTAGTTTTGTTAATATAGCAAAAAAGGAAGCGTTGTGAAATCTTTTATGATCTGCTTGTATTATATTACCAGCTAGCTTTATAGATGTCTAACTCCCTGCAGAGTGTTGATGACTAATATAAAGGAGAATGCTTTACTATATTATATCAGAACCACATAATTGGCAGTTCTATTCTGGGCTGATGGTGTATAAAAAATATATTTGTCTTGAGAATTGCAATATAGATTATACTATTTTATTTGTCAAAATGCTGAGTTATTTTTTTCTCCTAATAAACTTGTGTTCTAAATGGAAGTTAACTCTTTCCTCCAAGGTGGATTTTTGCATGTCATTGAATTTGGTATAAGTTGACAAACCAAAAAACAAACAAACCATTATCTGTTAAACCCGACCAATGAGGATAGGGATGAGGATAAATGTTATATGCAGATAAATATGTTGACTTATCACTTATGGTTTCCAATGGTAGGTCCACTGGGAAGTCGTGCTGCAAAAGCAATTGGTTTCATTGACATGATGATTGATTATTCATTTACCAATGCACCACTCCAGAAAGAACTACGTGCAGGTAATATTTCCCTTAAGATTCTTCCTTTCTGAAATGAACCATTTTCACCTTTTGTCTGCAACTACTTACACTATTTTGCTGTTGTAACAGAGGAGGTAGGCAACACTGCTGCCTTCTTGTCATCACCCTTGGCATCAGCTATCACAGGTGCTATTATATATGTAGACAATGGACTAAACGCCATGGGTGTTGGAGTAGACAGTCCTGTGTTCAAAGACCTTGACATTCCAAAGGACCAACATTGATGTTACCCTTGAAGTGATTAGTTTTTCTATATTCCATGTCTCAGTCCTTCCACTCCAACTAAGATCATACGGTTTAGGATGATGAAAAAACTATGAGTTAGTTTTTACAATTGCATAAATCAGTAAGTGGTTGTTTGAAGTTTATAACTACTCATTTTTCATCAATTACGATCCACTTTGCATTGTACTCTTCAAAATGTATCTTATAATTTGAAGTGTCCTAACTTCAGAAGTTGAATTTTTTTTTGTTAAATTATTTTAGTTCTTCAATAAAGGTTGAATAATTCTATAGCCTCCCACAATTTCATTGAATTCACAATTACGTCTTTATAAATTTGGTAAATACAATCTTAAGGTGTTGATTCACTTGCATCCAAGGCCTTTAATTAATTAGGGTCATGATCATTTTACAGTCGTATAAGTTATATTTTATGTCTTAGCTATTGATTTTACATATATTTTATGATGTACTGACACTTCAAAAAATCTGATGTGTTTTGTCTGACACTTTCCGATACTTTGATACTCTAACATGCATTATAGAGACTAAAAAAAGGGTTTAAAGGTTGCGTTGCATTACGTTTTTAATTCCAACTATTAGATTCGTTGGATTACGATTATCATTTTATTGAGTTTAATATAAATATTTGTGATATCTTATGTTTCTTTGCAAAATTAATAGGTATTATAAGTTTAGCTTCATTTTTTGTTAAATTATTGAATATTAAATATAATATACACTAAATAAATTAAAAATATTATTTAATATCAAAATGTGTCCTAACGTGTCGAAATCTAATATTTTTTAGAATTAACATGTGAGAGTGTCATGTCCCATGTCGGTGCAACATAGCTTATATTCAACCGATCTAATTTTTTTAGTTATGTGAGCCATTATATATAAATGGATCAATGGTAAAAAATGAGTGTAAGACTTCTTAAGAATAATCTATCCTAATTTATTAATTTGTGAGCCATTAAATGGAACTGGCATCAAAGGTTAATGGCGGGTATAAGGTTTGTTATTCTTACATCGGTATAATTTGATTATATCTCTTATAATTTAAAAGTTTTTAACAAGATTCTTATATTTTCAAATTTTTTGACATGAATATTTGAAATCTCGGATAAACTATAGAAACTTAGTGGACAAACAATAATATCGAATAGGTATTAATAATTTGTTAAAAGTTTTCAAATAGGTCCTATATGTGTTCAAAATCAATTCAATTCAATTAAAATTGAAAAAATTAAATAAAAAAAAAAACAAGGTCATCTCTGCCTCTATCCAAAGCCACCACGAAATACTCCCAACATAGTTTGTTCACCCTATTTAGCCATGGTCCTTGTCTTAGTTTGCCTTTTCAATCTTGGGATAAGGGGTGGAAAAACGGGTCGGCCCACCCCGACCAGTCGCCAACCCGCCAAAAGTGGGTTGGCCCGCCCCGCCTCTTGAATTTGGGTTGCAATTTGTAACACCGTGTGTATACTCGGTTTGTTAACATGCCATCGTATTAAGCCACACTTAATTAAAAATGCGGAATATCTTTCTCTTTTCAATTATGACGTCATTATCATTACCAAGTTGAATTACTTAATTCATTTCCAAAACATTGCCTGTATGTAAATTGCAAATAGACATCTAACTGGAATACCTCAATATATAAGTTAACAGTGAGTATCTAAAAATCACGGGACTACAACACGTAGCCCGGACAATATCCTGATACATTATTACAACTCGCATCTAACTAAGACAAAGTCAAACAATGTGGAATGCACAATCCCCATGCTCACCAAATAAGGAAACAAAGCCCAATATAGTCTCAACAGCAGCAACAATAATCATAACAAGCTAATAACATAAAGCAACAGGCATAATCCAGCATTCAAATATATCATCATATAAACAGCAATATCAGCTAAGCTCCGGCCTCCTGCCACTAGAGGTCTCAACCCCCGCATTACTTGAACCTGGAATAAGTGCCCCAAACGTGGGGTGAGATCTCTAAACAGAAATCTCAGTAAGACAAGGGGTCCTCAAGGATCTTCCACCCTAAGCTCACTTACATGTGCAATATAAGTTCTAAAAGCAGTAATTCAATATCAGTTTCAAAACCAGTGCAATGCAGCAGATAATCATGTCATGTGTGTTATACTATTCTACTGATCAGAGAAGTGCAGGAATACGTCTATTACCCACACAGTACATGACCATGCTCTACCTTCCCCATGGCTTCCTGGCTAGGCGAAACACCACATACATATCATAAGCATTTTGCACTTAACAACTCCATAGCATTTCAATAAAATAGTACATGAAAACACATCATGCATATAAACCATCCCCCCATGGGGCATGGTGGACCAAACAATGGCTAAACCGAGGACACGAAAGCTTACCTTGCAAGCTAACTATCCAAACCAAGAGTCAACACAAGCTCAAAGTCCACACACAGCAGAATCACAATCTGTTTTGGACCAGCAATCATATCAATATTCAAACATACAAGCATAAGACATAAAGACAACGCCTTTCCTTTACGTTTCAAGTCTTTAGGCTTCTCACAAAGCCATAAGCCCTAAATGGCTTAGATTCTGACTTAACAAGTCATTACAGAGATTCAACTTCATCAATCTAGGGTCCACAAACCCATAACTCAGTTCTGTATGAACAGTACCGTTATTGTTCACGCAAACCCAGAATATCCGGATATATGTCGGGGGTATATCTGGATATCAATATCCGGATATCCATATCCGGATATTACAGAGCCCATATCCAGATATCAATATCCAGATATTTCACGACAGAATGCAGTTTCTGCATTTCGCGAGATATCACTTCTAAGGCTCCATTTTTAACACTTCTAAACTTTAAAGCATGCATTTTTACTCTCTTTTAAGTTCATAAACTGATTGGTTACATGTTTAAACCATTAACATGCCAAGACTCAACCTTTAAACAACTAAAACTCAAGATCAAAGGTGGTGAAGCTTACCCAAGCTCAAAATAGAGATGCAATGGCTCTTGGAGCTCACCAAACAGCTCCTCAAGCTCTGACTTCACAAGGGTACGAAAATGGCACACCAAAGGTTGGTTCTTTGCACCGAAAGATGGCTCTTTGAAGCTCAGAGAGTCATCACCAAAGGCTCTCACAACACTACAACAAGTCAGCACCTAGACTCTTGAGAAACAGAACCTCAACTCAGGAGAGAGGCCTCCCACTCATTCCCTATGCTCCCTCTCACTCACACAAGGTATTTTGGTGAAAAGAAATGGAAGAAAGGTGGTTTCTTTGGAGGAGGAAGCTATGGAGAATGGTAGAGAAGGAGGCTGCACTCACAAGCTCAGAATTTCGTATGTAGAAGGCACAAAATCTGACCTAAAGGTGTGTGCCATGCCCTTATATAGCCTCATTAAATTTTAAACGCATTGTATTAGCGCTAATAGCTACGCTTAGTATTTTAATCCCAAACTTAGGATTCTGAACCTACTCATTTTTCTAAGATTTTCATATTTTTATTTTTTTTCAGAGCACATTTCCGGTACGCGCTTTTCCATAGCCAGTATCAGTTCTGGCACCAGTTCTCATTATTTTAACTTGAAACTTGTTTTACAAGTCCTATATATTATTCTAGTGACATATACACACTTTTCATAATTTTCCGGGGTACTTCATCAGTACGCATTTATACCGAGTAGCAGAACCGGTATCTGCACATTTCCTCAGAAAAGCGACTTTCAGCATTCTTAGTCACTTACTATAATTATTTAAGCCTTCTCATAATTATTAAGGTAGATTATGGAATTATTTCCTAATTCTCATATTTATTTAATTAATTCCCTTAATTAACAGTGCGGGTTCTTACAAAATCCTCAAACCGCCCAGTTTTATGGTGGGTTTGCGGGTTGGCGGGTCATGAATATCTGTTGCACTACCCGTTGTCTTGCTGAGATTTCTTGTTTAGAGATCTCACCCCACGTTTGGGAATACTTATTTCAGGGTCAGGTAATGTTTAGACCTTAGGCGGCAGGAGGCCGGAGCTGAGTTAAATATTGATGATATTATATGCTGACTTGTTTGATGCTGGATATGCATGCTGCTTTTATGATTTGAGCTTCATTTTATGTTTATGATTATCTTGTTGAGACGCTGTTGATTGGGTGAGCATGGGGACTGTCCATGCCACATAGACTTGGTTATGTCTTATTTTATTTAGAGTTGTATTAATGTATCAGGATATTGTCCGGATTACGTGATGTAATGCCGTGACTTAGATACTCACTTTATTTATATATTGAGGTATTTCAGTAGATGTCTTATTACAATTTACATTCAGGCGATATTTTAAGAAATTGATTAAGTAATCAAGTTGGTAATTGATAATGACGTCATAACTGAAAAGAAAAAGAATATTCCGCATTTTAATTAAGCGTAGCTTAATACAATGTAATGATAACACATACCGGATATATACGGGGTGTTACACTTGGCACAACAGTCAATCATCACGCAATTTATGGACAATCAATCCATGCCCAGAATGATTTCCAAATTAGCCATTGGCAATCCAATCAGATCTACCGAGTAGTCACGGCCATCCCACTGAAACACGACATCTCGTTGTACAGTTGAGGGATCACAATTTTCTCCGGTGGCGGTGGTCACCCGCAACGGTGGAGAAAGCACAGACATGGGCAACTTAAGCCCCACAACAATCTGGGTTGCAATAAAGGAATGCGTAGCCCCGGAGTCAAACAATGCATCAACAAAAGATCCACCAATAGAAATAGTACCTCTAACAAGGTTCGAAACTCGGCCTGACTGCTGACGATCCAAAGTGTACACACGCCCAGTGGCTGGTGGCACAACGGGTGCCGCTGTAGCAGTCAGAGGAACAATCTGTAATGGAACTGCCTGAATCGCTGCAGCTCTCGCTGTTGACGACAAACACTCTCTAGCATAGTAGCCCTCCTTGCCACACTGGAAACATATAGTCTGGCCGGTAGCACACGACCCCAGATGAACCTTCCCACATCCCGTGCATCTAGGAGTAGGAGGTCTCGTTGTACTCCCCTGAGTGGAAGTCCTCTTGAACTGATTTGGCGCTTGCCTAGCCGCCAACTGCTTACCTTTGCCCTTACTAGCAAACTTCCTGTCCTTCCAGGAAGTGGAACTATCAGTTCCCTTCGTCTCAGCAATCTTGGCCCTCTTGGCCTTACTCGTACTGCAGATATCCTCAATGTCCTTA